ATACAAATTGCCATTAGACGGAACAAGACGAGGCCGTCACGAGATATATTTGTATCGAGCCCACCGCGTGGCAATGCATTACGGCTTATCGTGGCAGTGACAGTCGAAGTAAATCAATAAGCGAGACAGGGGGATGCCGGCTAATAATAAGAATCGTTTCTTCGACCACTGTCACACGTTCCTGTCACACTTGACACTCCGCGCCATAAACCGAACCGGCTCTCCTCGCGTCCTCGTGGCTTTAATCCGTTCATTTACTTCAATCGTGCGTTTACCACGTGGAGACATTGACGAGTGTAGATCGAGCGAAACATTTGCCAACCGTTTAACAAGACGACGAGTTATTAAAATTTAACAGGCAGATCGTGTAATCGGAGAAGTTTAATTTTCTGATTGTTCTTTTTCTTTTTTTTTTTTTTTGAAAATGTTGGAAATAATAAGGATTTAGATCGTAATTTTTATAGTTAATTCTAAGTTTTTTAAGGATATTAGAATGAATTATAAAATATAATAATATTATACAAATTTGAAATTTTTTTTGTGGTCAATACAAAGAAAGAATTTGCTTTAAATTTTCCAATATAATCCACGAGGAATTCTACAACTTACGAATCTCAGGACTTTTCACACGAACAAATCGAAACGAAATATAATCCCAAAAAGTTTTACCATCGACACCATCAAATAATACCAAATTTTACTTCCGTACAAACTTTTCGTATTCACGTTTCATAAACTTTTAAAACAAAAAAAAAGAAGGCATCCTTCAAAACTCACCGTTTCGCAAAGAATCGATCACCACATCAACGACTCCTATTCGTCCAACCCCTTTTTCGAATCCTCCTTCTTCTCCCCCCTCGATTATCCGTTGGCTGGCCAGCTCGATCAATCCAACAACAAGTTTCCACAGTTTCGATCGTAGATTATCGCCGACAGCCGCTCTTAAGATAATGCGGCCGGCACTTGAACGTCACCACCAAAGTGTTGTTATTACGTATCGATGACGTGCGTCATCGCCACCTACGAATCCTTCGTGATTCGTGGTAAAACGAACGAGGAAAAAAGAAAATATAGAGAAACTCGAGCGATCTGCGAAGCGTCACAGCGGCCGCGGCGCTGTTTCAATAATATTTATCGAAAGGCCACCCCCGCCGTCCCGAGGAAGAATGTTATTTTTCTTATGCGTGGGCGGGAGGAAGGGGGGATAGAGAAGCGGATGGAATTGGATTTCGGTTGATTGACATTCGCGGTATCTAATCTAACTCTAGGATTCGTTTGTGTATAATAAAGAGTTTGTGAAAGAGTTTCTAACTGCTCGTCGTCCATTTCGATCATCCCAAGTTTCTGTGTCGTCGATCGAGAAACGAGAATATATAAATATTTTCGAAAATACGAATCAGATAATTATTAATATTCCCTCTCCTAGATAAAATTATTTCGACTATATTCTTTGCTCAAATTTTACTTTAATTGGTATTCTTGGCCAGATCATTTTTTGGCTTAATTTTAACTTGTCACGTTTTAATGTTTTTTTCGACTCGATCTAGGAGTTCAAGGAATTAAAAAAAACACTCGAAGGATAATAATAAGAAAAGGTAGGAAGAAATTCACGACAAAAAGATGTAAAGTCTTGGAAAAAAGAAGCGAAACCAGATATAATTGCACAAAGGAGAACTCTTCACCAAATATCAAACACTCTGAAGCATTATCCAAGTTTGCAAAGTGAATAATAATCAATCGATTTAATTTTATTCATATAATAAATAATAGTTATAAGAAACATATATTTAAGAACACTTTATAAATGTGAGTTAAAAACTGCACATATGATATACTTTTTTATATATTTTAAAGTATTTAAAAATGTGCGGATCATGGAGGCGCATTGAACGACCAAAGTGTTAATATTTGTAACGTAAGGAATCCATTTTTCCCTTACATCTGAAAGATTTACAAAAATCAAATTATTCTTAGGAATCAAATCTTACTCATTACCCGTATCCCAACTTCTCCACCAACTATCTCTCTCTCCACGCCTCGATTATTTATCGTTCTCACGTTTCGATAGCCAAGGAATTCCACCTTCACACTCTCGACTCGTGTATCCTTTCGATGAATTCGGGAAGCACCTCTCCTCGGGAAGATAAGAGCGCATCCCTCTGAGAGAGAAGAAACAAAAGATCGGCCGCCTAAGCAAACCCTTGGAAAGGGTTGTGAGATATCTCTCGAGGGGAGAGGGAGGGAGAGAGGTTCCTCGAGTGGCGCTAACGGTGGTCGGTTCTCTCACACACACACAGTGATTATGTAGATTTTCTCGAGGAGGAGGGCTGGAGAAAAAAGCGAAGCAAAGACCAAACAGAGATTCAGGACAGGGAAACGTCGTGTTTACCTTCGAGTCCCATTGTTTCGAGTTAGCGAACCCGCTAACTCTCCTCTTCTTCCGTTCCAAGGATTAGCTTTCCTTTCGTTCGACTACAGGCGCGGATAACAATCCCTTCTCTTGAAAGGAGGATTTAATTGCGAGGAGGTAAACTCGAAGATACGATCAATTTTTTGGAGGAAAAGGAAAAGGGAAGAGTATTTTATTATTGCGTCGATTCATATTTTTATATTCGAGTAAAAATTCGAGACATGGCGGTTTATATTTATCGTAGAATTTATCGATAATTTTTGGAGAGGGGAAATTTATTACATCGCGTATTGATTGAAAAGGAATGATTAAAATAGAATGTGTGCGTTATATAGGAGTAACAAAAACGAGAGATATCTTTATCTCTCGTTTTTTAAAATGTTAAATGCACACACATGAGAAATGTGAACGATAACGATTTCACGATTTTTAATATATCCTTGCAGCGAATGAATTATTCATCCTTTGGCTTACTTAATTAAAATAATTATCAGCAATTCATACGTGATAATTATTCGACGAGGATTAAAAAAAGAAAAAAAAAAAAAGAAAAGTTTCACGATTGCCTTGATTCGCTTCGATTATTTATTTCGATCGAGAGATAACGTCGAGATTCGAGAAGTGTTGACCCGAAGAAAAAAGAAAGAAAGAAAGAAAAAAAAAGAAAGAAATCGTGGATATAAAATCATCGAAACGAGATCCGTTATTATTATTATCCGAGATTATTTTAAAAAATGCGTGGGCGACGAGATATATATATAAGAGTAAAAAGCATCTAAGAGGGAAGGTAAGAAGTAAGGATTGAATTCGTTCCGTAATTTTTTGAAATGTGAATCGCCTAAATAGAAAGTGTCCCACCAACTCACCTTTCGAGGAAACCAGCTTAAATCCGTGTTGAATGCGGTTTAAACGAAGAAGCCAGTTTATAACATTGTCAAACGGCGCGTTGAAACACGAAAGAAATACAAGGAAATTTGCGCAAGTGGCACAACATGTAAAACGTGTTTAACTTTGAATGACCCTCCAATCGTCATTCTTTGAGACAATACCTTAACGATACTTCGAATTTTTAATTAAGAAAGAGAAATATATTTTTTTACGATTCTTTTATGGCTCTATACATAGTATAGAGGCATATGGAAATTCCTTGTGTTTGTAAATTG